TGGTCTTTTTATTTTTAATTTGCTGCAGGAAAAAGACCTTTTAAGTGCGTGTCTGTTTTCCCTGGAGAATTAAAACAAACATTCGCCCTATCTTATTTTTGTTTACTATTATCTCTATTTATTTATTTTTATTTTCGCATGTTTATGGAGATGCAACTGTATATTGGCGGACTAAAAGAGCCTTCACACGAGAAAGAGCTTGAAAGTTACTTTTCAAAGTACGGAAAAATACTGGGCATAAAACTGTACAGTTCGTACGGGTTTGTTACTGTGGAGCCAGAGATAGGGAGTAAGATACTAAGTGAGCCCCATGAGATTAACGGGTCAAAGGTCGTCATAGAAGAGGCTCGCGGACAAAGGAAGGGCCCTGGGAGGACTATTCGGGGCCCTATTATGGCCCGCAGGAAGCCTTCTGCGAAGAGAGTCTCCAGGCTGATTTTGGAGAATCTCCCGAAGGATCCGGAATGGTCTGAGCTGCGGTCTTTCGTCCTGATGAGTGGAGCTAGGCCCACGTACCTGAAAATACTCCCCTCCGGAGACGGACTCCTGGAGTTTAAGAACAGATATGACCGAGACATTGCACTGGAGAAGTTGAAGGACCAGGAGTACCATGGAAATCCTCTGAATGTACGCTTTGGGAGGAAGCGCTCAGAAGGCCTTTCCATGGGGGAGGAGAGTCCGCTGCCAGAAGAGAAATAAAGTCTACATGTAAATATAAATTTTTCTTTTCGGGACACTTTATGGTCGTATTGTGCTGTTTATGCCATCACTTTTATAGATCAAATCAGGAATCAATATATGATGGAAGGAGAAGTCCAGTAGTTATTCCGGCAGTTAGTTATTCACTTTTTCAGTAAGTTAGTAATAATCTGAATCCAGTAAGTTGGTAGTTCAGTAAGTTATTTATTCAATGATAGTTCAGTAGTTATTCATTCAATGATAGTTCAGTAGTTATTCAGTAGTAATATTCACTTTTTCAGTAAGTTATTTATCCAAGTTCACTTTTTCAGTAATTTATTTAGTTATTCAGTAGTTCAGTAATTGACTTTTTCAGTAAGTTATTTATCCAATAATCCAATAATCCACTTACTCAGTAGTTTACTTATTCACTTACTCAGTAGTTTACTTATTCAGTAAGTTAGTAGTAGTTTACTTATTCACTTACTCAATAGTTCACTTACTCTGTACTTCAGTAAATTAGTAGTAGTTCAATGTATCATCTGTTTATTATGGGAGAAGTGTGAATATTATGTCTCTTTATGCAGATATTCCCGAGAAGTTCTCCATCTTGCTGAGGGTGTTGTTCGCACTCCCTGCGATGATGCTGAGTCCCTGGAGAAGAGCCTTTCTCGCCACTGGGAAGACGAGAGTGGCTACTCTAAGGGGGTACAGCAGCACCAAGAGCGTGATAACCCCGAGGAAAAGCGCGAAAAGAGCCTTCACAGCCAGAATAGCGTATGTTGACAGTGTCTGCGTCTGTTCTGACCTGTTTATTCGTGCGAGGGAGTAGAACGTGGGGACTATTCCGAGGATAATAATGAAGGAAATAACTGTGCTTATAACGTACTCTACGTTACTAAAACACACTTTCATCGCAAATCCAACAGTAACCAGCCAGTCGATAAATCCCTTCACCAAAGCAACGGGAAGACGTTTTCCGCTGGGGGAACTTCCCACTGCATCCATCGCCATGAGGGCGTACACCTTCAGCACCTGCAAAAGGGGCTTTACACTCTCTCCGGCCTGCTCTGGGAGTATTTTCCCCAGAAAGACTGCTCCTCCCCACAAGAAGAAGAAGCTCATAAGGCCGAGGGAGGAAGAAATAACAGCTACTTTTAAGAGGATACTGCTCGAAATATTGAAAATATTTTGGTATTTTCCAACATCATTTATACTCACATTGTAGTACTCTTCATCTTCATCTGCTGTATCTGTTCTCTTTAGGCCTGCATCTTCATCCTCTGGGTGGTTTATGACGCTGTCAAAGCCCATCTTCTCGAGGACTTTGCTCGTTGCATACGCTATTCTTGAGGCTGAGTAGAGGACTGTGTATGCGAGTGCTGTTGCTGCTGCGAATACTCCGGAAATAACTGCAAGAACTACGAGAACGGTTAGGGCACTGGGCTCTACGCCTCTCATAAGATTCTCTGCTCTTTCCATGATTTTCCCGTACTTTTCCACGACTGATTCGCTGAATGTTGGCTCTAGCATTATATCTGTGAGTGGTTTTTCCCCTGTTAAATTCAGCTTCTTAAAACAGTTATAGAGCATGTACGTGGAACTAGACGTTAGAAGACTTGTTACAGCACAGGATGCAACTATGGGAGCAAGACTGCTTCCAAATAAGAAGACGAGTGAGCTGGGTCCTGCTGCTGCTGCTGCTGCTTTTCCGCCTATAGCCATATTAACTAGTTGGTATGTGCCGATCATCTGAAAAATTTTAGAAAATCATATTTCTTTTCTAGTTTTTGCGTGCGGAATTTTCTCCGAATAACCCGAAAAAGATCAATATATCAATAGATCAGGTGCAGTACTGGAAGTGCAGGCGGAACTGCAGAATCTGTGCGCATTAAATAGCCAGAATACGTATTTATCTGCTAGTTCACTATAAGTTTATGCTGGGGTTATGCTACTGTCCAAGCAATAACCAATTTAGGAGTAAATATGCTGCTATATACAAGATATAATAAGACATAATAACCCGAATAACAAGGATAATAGCACATAATAGTCTCTTGTAATAAATGAATACTCTTATGGATGAATTCTCTTGTAATGGTTGAATATTCTTATGATGAATTCTTTTGTAATAGATGAATTCTCTTGTAATAGATGAATAGTTGTAATGGATGAAATCATAGATAGTTGTGATTGGTTATTGTTTTGATGGCAGTCATAAGCAATGATAAAGCAAATGCATAAGTTTAAGCAGGCTAAGCCTAACAAATAAAGGCTGCAGTTTCACTAGCACTTCCACTATTAAAACTAACATAAGAAGAAAATAGAATTAAGTCAATCGGTAGTTGAAATTCAGGATTCTCTAAAGGGCAATAAATCTTTACTGGAACTAGAGACAGAAGAAAATATATCTGAATTTATAGCAGTGCTTTATACACACTGAGCAGTAAATAGGCTTATTTTTTATTTTTCTATGAAAATTTCGAATTGCACACCAGCCCCAGAGACAGAAGCATAAAGACGAGGAAAAGTGCGAGGATCAAATTTTGAAGCGTAAAATGGCACTTGGATTTTATACCTGTTCCCTCGCCCGAACTTTCTCTCAAAGTTTCAGCTATATTCCCATCAAGGTCATCTACTGCACTGGGAAATTCATCCCAAAAGTACTCGTTTTCAACGATAAACTCCGGAGTCAGCAGACGGTGGGGCTCTTTTTTAAGGAGGTTTTCAAACATTTCTTTCGCTTTTCTGTTAAACTCTGGGTTATTCGGGGTCTCTTCAATCTCTCTTATAACTTCCTTGGCCAGCCGAGTCATTTCCTCCTCAGCCTCCTTCTTGAGCCTGTCTATGTGCAGCAAACACTCGGTTTTGTACTTCATCAGATAAGCATAACGGAAACATTCGTTCTTTTTGGCTTCTTCCTTGCTTAAATCCGCAAATGAATGCAGTTTCTGGTTAAGGACTTCTATCTTTTCCTCAGTTTCCGATAGACTTTTCTTTAATTCTACCCTCTCAGACTCTGGTTTGGCTTCATCTTTCAGCTCTTCAGTATACATGTTCTGGAACATCTTCAGCAATGAGAGCATGACTTTGATTTCGCGCGGAGTGACCCCATCTTCCAGGAACACAGCCGAAATCTCTTCAATAGAACCTGAAAAATCAGGCACTGGGTTTTCCGTTGCAAATTTTTCATATTCGTCAAACCTGAATTTATAGTCCTCTGCGGTCTCATCTGTTTCACTCGTTCGAAACCTTTCAAGACACTCTTCTGCCCTCATAGCATTTCTGTGCAGCTGTCTTGCCTTTTCGTTCTTTTCGTATGCGCGGATAATCAGGGCATGAAAAGCCTTGCCGAAACCTGAATTTATGTCCACATTTGGAAATCTAGACGCTATTTTTTTAAAATCATCGCTAAAGAACAAAAAACTCCCCCTCGCGCACGCACTAAGCATATTCAACGGAGAATCCGCCACTTGAAAGGCATCGTGGATTCTGTATAGGTTTGCAAAGAAGGTATACTCAATAAGGATCATCTTGTGCTCAAATCCCTCCAAGACATTCAAAAGCTCCTCCAGTTCCGCCCTTTCAGACTCTTCCAAGTCTTCTTTCATTTCTGATCTATTCTTCCAGAGTAAGTGTGCAAGAAAAGAGCCTGCTTTCAGACTGATTAGACCTATAAAATGCGAATAGATACCTCCTACCATATCCCAAACACAAGGATGCATCTCTTCATAAAACTCATACATACACATTTTCTCGTATACGCGCTTCATCTCTGCTAACTTCTCTTCAGCAGAAAGTAGATTCTTGCCATTTGTCCCGTAGTATCTCTGATGCTCTGGAGTGGAGATGGTTATGTTTTTTCCGTTATTTTCCATTATTTTCTTCAGGTCAAAATACACGCTGGAATTGCTTTTATCCCCAGAAGAATACGCTTTAACTTTCTCAAGCATCAGATCTAAAGTGTAACTGTCAGAATTGAAAATATTTTCTTCACTACACTTTTCTTTTTCTTCCTCCATAGGCTCCTCCTGAGAAATTCTTTCTTCCTCCTTCAGAAGGTTTTCTAGCGTATTAGTGAGTATTTCCAGGTTCTCTCTATCACTAGCAAGGGCAGACTTGAATTTGCGTTTTTCAGATCTCTCCATTCCTTTGCTCTGGAGCACTTTCTCGCAGTGGGCAATGACTAGTTTCTGAGTTTCCCTGTAGATTTTATGCAGTTCGATCTTTTTCTTGAGAGTATGCATATAGAAGTCCTTGTACGTAACTGTCCGTTTTAAAGTAGAATAGTCTATTTCTGTGCTTAAGGCAGAACGACCGTATAAGAATTCGGAGGGAGCTTCTGCTATGGCTTCCTTCTTGAGGATTTCCAGGATCTCAGGACTTACTGCACAGTGTCTTTTGGCTATGTTGGCTAATACCGGGTCTAGACGCTCCTGCAGGAAAGTGTCTACTAATGCTTCAATTTCTGCAAGCTTTTCCTTTGGGATATTATTGAGGGAGTGGTTTATGCGGGAAGAGAGCACTTCTAAGAGAGTGCTTCTCGGGTCTTTTGGTTTAGAGTTTACTGTGTCTATCAGCATATAGTATTTCAGATCGTATAGAGATGTGTTGATGTGTTGGTATTTTCCCATGCCCTCTAAAAACTTCTGAGCATTTATGCTTTGAAAATATCATTTATTGAAAAATAGCATTTATCACACAGTTTGTCAAAAATAAAAGTAAATATTTGGCACTAGTTTTTGTACAGTGTGTGCTAAGTGGCAGGACTTACTGCACATCGCGCAACAAAGAGCATATAGTATACAGTGTGCAACAAACAGCAGGCAAACAACAGAATAGTACCTTCTACGCACTGTGCATTAAATAAGACAGATTCCACACAGTTTTTACACCGTGTGTACTAAGCAGCAGAACTTGCTGCACACCATCCAGCAAATGCACTTAATGTCACTGTACAACAACTGGCAGATGACAGCAGCGCAGCACTTTATACACAGTATGCAGCAATTGGCAGGCAGGCAATTAATACTACTTGTGGTGAATTCCTGGAATCCCCACACAATTGGAGATGCCCAAGATCATGGTGGGCTTTGATAATATGGATGCGAATAAATTGAGATCACTATTGACTGCGAAAAGTATATAAGTATAAATATACGAGCAATTTCAATTTCAAAAATAAGAAGAAGATAGAATTAAGTCAATCGGTAGTTGAAAGCTGGGACTCTCCAAAGGACAATAAATCTTTACTGGAACTAGCAACAGACTCCGATTCAAGTCTGCCCGGATTTATGTCATTATCCTCTCATATGATGAATTATCCTCTCTTATGTCATTGTTCTCTCATATGGTGAATTCTTTTATGACAGATGAATTATTCTCTTATGTTGGACTATACTTTCTTATGTCATTATTCTCTCATCTGTGAATACTTTCTTATGCTGGATTATTCTCTTATGTCATTATTCTCCCATCTGTGAATACTTTCTTATGATGCTATGGTGAATACTTTCTTATGATGTTATGTTGGATTCTTTTATGCCATTATTCTCTCATATGATGATGCGATGAATGCTCTTATGCTGTATTTAGTGGGAAAGTGTGGTTTTATGGGGCAGAGAATCTCTTGACTTTATGCGTGTGATTTACCATTCTCCCGTGCACTCTCTTTTTGAGCGTAAATCCAGTGGAAATACCAACAGACAGGCTGAAATCAGAGGTATAGGGAGCTCTATCCCCGTACTGCACAAACACTCCCATCCCAAGAGATTTCCTGCATATTTTCCCTTCGAATATTCGCTCAGGAGGAAGTTAAGAAAAAAAGGGAGGACTCCTCCCAGCTGCAAATGCCATCACAGCAGCTCCGAGACAACTAAGCATCTCTTTAGTGTGTGGATAAGATTGTATATGCGTAAGTCAGGCAGTTCCTGCTTACAAACAGTTGGAGAATCTTTCCGTTCATTTCAGAAGAAGCTTTTCGGACTGCCATCTCCCCAGAAGCACTGACCTCCGCACGGGAGACTTCCCATATGCTTTTTTATGCGTCATATCCCTCTGAGAGTATGCAATGGCAGGCACCCACCATCCGATTCGCACTTTCATTCCGTCATCATCACTCATTCCATCATCTCATTCCATCATCATCACTCGGTCTTTCTCTCTTCTTCATTCTCTTCATTCCTTCATTCTCTCATTCTTCATTCTCTCACTCGGTCATTCTCTCTTCATCACTCATCACTCGGTCTTTCTCTCTTCATTCTCTCACTCGATCACATGCTCTTCTTCAGGTGGGTGCTGCCTTGTAAGTTTCTCCTGTATTTATAGACACTTTCCTTCCAAATTTGGATGCAATTAGCAGGATCCAGCACATTGTTCCTGAACGGGGAAATTGCGGGCTGGACTCGCCCATTTCCCGGAAGGGGTAAATTACTCTGGAAATTAAATGCAATTACGCCTGAACAGCATTTATCCCGTGCGTTTATTTATGGGCAGCCTTTTTCAGCGTGAGCTTTCCCTGGATAAGTCCGTACTTAACGATAATAACGCAGCAGCAGAGAAGCCCAATGCTTGAGGACGCGTGGAAAAGTGCCCTCAGATCCGAGAAGTACCGAATAATAGCCAAGCTCAGGAGAGAAGAAAGCAAAATAGACACTCCATTGTAGCACGCACTGTACATTGTCTGTGCCTGTGCCTTATTATTCGCATCTGCGATTTCGTCCATAATATTTACTGCACTGAAGACGATGCAGGAGGAGCTGACTCCCTTCAGGACTTCCCCCAGGGTAGCAAATACGATAGTATACGTCCTCGGGAGGAAAGCGTAGTTGAAGTCCCTCAGAGTAGCTGCAAGAAGTGATCCGAGGAGAAGCCAGTGGTATCCAAGGTACTTCAAAAGGTGCTTGCTGTAGTAGAGAATTGCCATTTCGCTTATTGTTCGGATGCACATGACGTACGTGACTTTTGAGAAGTGCAGGTTAAACTCCATCGCCAAGTACGTGACGAGATAGTTCGAGGATATTCCCCGGGTAGTTCCTATCGAGACAATCACAAAAAGAAGAAAAAGAAAGTCTCCATTTTTCAGGAGGTTCTGCTGGGGTTTTACACTCTTCTCAGCACTTCCTGCCTTCTTTTGGAGGGTTTTCTGGCTGCTCTCCTGGGGCTCTGTCTTCTCCTGCAGGGAAAAGTGGACGATCGCAACGAAAACCCCCAATCCCACGGCCATTACGCCTATAAGAACGAAGAAAAAGAGGGCGGATCCTGCCCTTTCCTCTTCACTTTCTTTTTTTCCGTTGAGTACCGTATAGATGTACAGTATAGCAATTCCAGCGATAGCATGGCCAATTGAAGCCCACATTCTTATGCGCGTGAATATCTCCTTTCTCTCGTACTTCTCCATCTCCCTGTACTCCTTCCGGAGGTGATGCATTACCAGGACGTCGTAGAACGGGAAAACAGGGGATATGCAGACTGTGTATATGGAGAAGATCAGGCATATGAGGGGGACACTGTTATATGCTGATGTATACACCCGCAGGAAGAAGAATGTGCTGTATACGGCTGCTGCCATCAGAGCGAAGGAGATAGTTGCCTTCTTTGTCCACTGTTTTTTCTCAACGGATCTTCCTATGAATGTTCCTGCTACGTAGAAGAAGGACATGCACCCGAAGTATCCGAAGTCTGAAATGGGGAAGTTTAGCTGGCGGTTGAACAGGAACAGAGCGTACGTCTGCGAGTATATCGCAATATTCAGCACCAGATATCCGAGTTTAAAGTCCCAGTGCGTATTCGGGGAGATCTCCTTTGATATCAGCGAAAGAAGGGGGAGATTCTCCCAGGAAAAGACTGACCCGCACAGGAAGTATCCGGACATGTAGTGCTGCGCAAATACAGCAATTCTTGGGGCCAGGATGCTTTTAGTCGCTCTGGAGAGCATTATCCAGAGGGAGGAGAGAGCAAAGAGGGATCCGTGCATCTTCTGGAGGAATGACCAGGGGCGAGGCATGCTCAGAGCAATGGCACCGAATAAAAGAAGGGATCCAAAAGCGTAGTTGCAAGGGAGAAAGAGGCTTTGTATAAGCTTGTTATCAATGCTTTTTGCATCCTTGAGAAATGCCTTTCTAATGGAGTATATGGCTCCTATGGGAAATAGTCCCATGCGCGCCATCTTCTTCGTGTCTTTGACCATTTGAATGAGAAATAATATTTTTTCATTTGGATAAATAGAAAACCCCCGGGGTAGACTTTTCTGAAAATTTGCCTTTTTCCTGCAGAATTTTCAGGCTTACACAGGATAATACGGGATAATACGGGAGAATGTGCAAGGATAATAAACTCGAGTTATTATAGAGTTTATTATAGAATTATTGTAGAGTTTATTGTATAATTTGGGGTATTAATTAGTTATTATAGAGTTTATTATAGAATTATTGTATAGTTTATTATAGAATTATTCCGGTTATTGTATAATCTGAGCTCTTGATGAGTTTACTGTATAACTTGAGTTCTCGTGCGGTTTATTATAGAATTATTGTAGAGTTACTGTATAATCTGAGTTCTCGTACGGGTTATTATAGAGTTTACTGTATAATCTGGTTTATTGTAGAGTTTATTGCATAGTTGCTGTCTTGCTGAATCGATGAAAAATCCCGTAGAATCTATCCTGATTTATTGCAGTCTCGTATCACAGTAACTCTGGGGGAATAGTGCTTTTCTGCTGTGCTATCAGCATCTGGTATCGAGTCTTTTTCTCCCCCACGGCCTTTGCAAGCTTTTTCACTTTCGCCTCCTCCAGGCACATCCTCCGCTGGAAGTCCTCGCTTATCCCGGAGTCCTTCACTATGAGGATGTCGACAATGATCTTGTTCCTCCTGTACGTTTCGTAGTACGCATCTGTCACTTCGATCAGGTCGACCATGTGCTGGGATATAACGAGATCTCTCAGCGTGTTTATGTCGCTAGAACTTCCTGCCTCGTGAGTGTACGGGTACACTCTCCCGGGAGTAGAATACTTCAGGGGCATAAAATTTAGCTCAACGACTTTTTTGCACTCGTCAATGAATATAGAGTCGAACAGCTGCACATTATTCGCCATGAGCGCAGAGAAAACAGACTCTTTGCATGCCTTATACGCCTCGTCTGTGAGCATATCCGCCTTGCTCAGGATGGGAATGACGTTCACAATCTTCCCCATCTCTCGCATGCACTTTACGTCGATATCTCGTAATATATCAGTTGGGCTGATCAAATACAGGCACACGTGAACTCTCTTGTCGTTTCTCAGGAGGCCGCTCTCCTCCTCCAAGTGATACTCTTCGTACCTGTTCAGCACCAGATTCTTTGCTAGTGCCCAGTCGCACGAGCTGTGCAGTGAGTCCCCAATTCCCCCGACTTCATACACCGTCAAGTGCATGGATATGGAGTTCTCCCAGAGAGTGTAGGACGTAGCGGAGATGGAAGTGCTGTTTTTCTCGAGGGAATGCTCTGAAGCATCCATCAGCTCTGCGAGGGGGTTGTTAGTGCATGCCATATCGCACACTTCGTGAAAAATTCCGTCGTTTTTTTCAGGTTTGCACTCTCCGATCCCGAAGAGAGCGCGTACTAAAGAGGTTTTTCCAGCGTATCCTTCGCCCATTACCATTACGTTGTAGTATATGGGTTCGCTTTCTATCGACTGCATAATCTGCCTGGGGAGAGTATTCAGCATATTCCCTGTCTTGTCCGTGTTCATGCGTATTTGTACGTATATGCTCCCAGCGTAAATATACCCAGCGTAGTCAGGCACAACAAACAGAACGAAACCATGCGCTTTCTCTTTGTTTTTCTGAGGAGGTGTGTGAGCTTTCTGCTGGCTCTTTTCAGGGTTACTTCTGCCTCGTTTATCTTTCCCTGGATTCTTGAGATAGTCTCTCCCTGCGCGCAAACTATGCTGTTTATTCCCACGAGCTCAACTGTGGACTCCTGCAAAGACTTCACAGTTCCCTGCATGATCACGTCCTGCTCGGAAATTGTCTCTTTCTCTGCGTATGTCTGCATTTCCTTGTTTCCTTCTGTTGTGTTTTATGCGGAAATGCAATACGCCCTCTAATTGGCGGAATACTTGAGCTGTAGGCGCCTGGACGTGTTTTATCTGCATCCTCTGAAAGTGGCTTCATCCGTGTCTCCAGCTGTTTCTGTTGTTCGCCTGTACTAAACACTCTCCTAAGCACTCTCTTATTCAACACTTTCTCATGTACTAAAAGCACTCTTATTCAATGCTATCTTAAGCACATTCTTATTCAACGCTTTCTTATGAACTAAACACTCTCTTATTCAACACTCTCTTGCCCACTAAACACTCTCTTATTCAATACACTCTTATTCAGCACATTCTTATTCAATACTAAACACTTTCTTGTGACAACACTTTCTTATTCAACACTTTCTTACCCACTAAACACTTTCTTATTCAACACATTCTCTTATTCAACACACTCTTAAACACTTTCTTACCCACTAAACACTTTCTTATGAACTAAACACTCTCTTATTCAACACTTTCTTATGAACTAAGCACATTCTTATGCTAATTTCTTTTCTTTTTGTGGATGTGCATTTTCTCTGTGTTTTTCGCGCATGGACTGGTCGCAGACGTACAGAGAAGTCACAGTAAGACTCCCCCTCGACAAGAAAAGCCGCGATAGAGTGCGAGTCCGTGCAGGGAGTTCTCTCCTGATCACGAAGAACGAGGAAGTCCTGGTGGATCGTGAGCTCTTCCTGGGCGTGGACGGAGATGAAACCGTCTGGACGCTGGACGAGGGCTGCCTCGAAGTCTCGATGCGGAAGAGGGAAATGGGCCCGTGGAAAAGCCTCTTCAAAGGGGACCCAGAGGAAGAGCAGGATCTTCCCGTGGAAAACGTATCCCTCTCAGACCTCGGGGAAGAAGCGCAGTCCATCCTGGAAAAAGCAATACGCGACGGAAACATGCAGGCATAACCCAAAAATAAACTTCCCAGGAACTTTCTCTGCAAAAATCACGGCTCAGGCTGAAAACTGCAATATAAGCTCTTTATTTCTCCAGGGCATCATCCAAGGCGCAGGCCCTTCTCAAGTTCCCTGCGTCCTTTTCTGTGGCCAGGCGTATTCTGTACAGCAGCCCTGTCTCTGGGTCCACGAAAATGAAGACTTTTTTGCTTTTCTCGGAGTGAATTGACGTCATTCTAACGGGGACTGTCAGAAGATGCTTTTTTTTTCCGTCAAAAACTGTTATTGTCTTCTCGCTGTT